TTTGTTGAAAAATATTGAAAAATATCTGTCATTTCAAAGTTTTGGGGTGTGGACCATCGGGGGTAGTCCGTTCCTGACTTTGTAGCAAAACAACTGACTCCTGCATGAAAGCTCATCGACGGAATTCATTTGTTTAGTCAATTACCAAAATTTGGATGATTTTGAATATTCACTTGAAAAGTTATCAAAGAAAAACATTTTTCATTTTGTAACTTCGAGGGCCCGTAACTTGGTTACGAAGACTTTTAGGAAAAAAAGTTATATGAAGTACTGGTGATATTTTGACCCCATCTATACATTCCCGAGAGGAAAAGAGGAAGTCCAGGGACACCCTGTATAACGACTTTTACTGCTTCCAATTTGGATAACCGGTTTCGGAGTTTTTGGCGTATGAATTGGAGACTAGGAAAAATGATAATTCGTAACTTTGCAACCAAAAGAGCATTGAATCAAGCTTTAAAGTAAGTCATCACAAGTTACACAAAGTTTATGTGTATGAGAACGAAATTTTTCATAGAAATGAATTGTGTTTGGAATAAAATTGTACCAAAATATTCGAAAAAAAAGCTCATTTCTGTTTTGAATTCGATTTTGTTTTTTTGGTGATTGATAATGTAGATAATAATCCACATCATGTTACTCTAGTAATTCGAATTAACCCTCAAATTGTTTACAAATATCCTTGTGTAGGTTCTGTTCGTTATTACGAAGTATTTCTAAATGGACATCTTTATTAAAAGTAATTAATTTAAAATACTCTCATATGGAGTAACCCAATGTAATGAAACAATTTTTAAAGGAGGCATCCACCATTTTACACATTTTGGTGTGTTAACTAAACATAAAAAAATCAAATTGATATTTAGCACTGGCATTCACCCTGTTTGATTAAAAAAAGTTGTCATTCATATGAAGTCGTAATATCATTAGCTACTGTGACATATTGGGTATTTAGTAGACGACCGATTTCGTAAGCCAAAAATAACATGAATTGAGTATCATTTGTTTTTTATGTTGTTAAAAATTTGTTTATTTCAATTATTTGGTTGTATTGGATTCATTAAACTAATCATATATTTCAAATGTTTTTCCAGGATTGTCTGTACTGATTTTGGATAGAGAAACACCCGAAAAACAAGTGAAACACTCCTACACCTTTTTTATATCCCCACTACAAAGCAAATTTTCCAATATTAATAAACATTTGTGGTTTAAAATACTTATTAATTTTTCGTGTGACGCGTTTAAACCTTTTTCGTGACCCCCATCCACCTTGAACAAATTTTGACATTTTTTTTAGATTTCTCAGATAAAAAATATAGTTTATTTGAAATGAGATTTACAATCATATTAGACAATGAAAGTTCGATCTAGTAAAATTAAAAAAACCATAGTATTGAATCCAGCCACAAGGATAATTCGCCATCTTGACCTATGACTCATACATGACAACTACTTATCAAGAAGGAAAATACATAATTTTTCAAAACTCAGTATAATTTGTATATTTTATATGAAGATAAATAAAATGAATCTAACCTCTTCAAATCCCCAATTCTAGAACACAGACCCATAGAACAAAACACTCGGACCGAATAATGCAGATGAATGTTGTCACAACGACACAATGCAATATTTTCTACCTGTTGAATAATAATTAAGGGAAAGGGAAAGTCAGGGAACGCAGTTTTCAGATTAGGTCCAATGGGGATTTAGTTTCTGTCACAGACAGAACCAGTTCCGAACTAATCCAGAGTAGGCGTATAGGTGTTTTCTAGACCAAAATTTGTCCACAACGGTTCTGATGAGGAGTTTTACTTGCACCAAAACTTCAAAGTACAACATCTAGGATGAGAGTGTTTTATGTAAGTGAAATTTGATCATCTTTCATACATTACGTTGTGTAGGGTTTCTGTGAATTTCTGTTTCAATTCCATGAAGAAAGTTTTAAGCAAAAACTTGATGGGAAAAAGTGGTTCCCATATAATTCACTGTTTATAGGCGACAGTAGAGATCAATGTTTCCACGAACTGCATTCTCCAGTGACATAAAGTCATAATTTTCTTCAATAAATGAGTGCCTTCGTTTTTAACCATTTTCGTATTGATTTTTGTAGGACTCCTTTCTATGATATCAGCTTCAATTTTACAAACTGTACAAACTGAATGAGCAGAAGTGATTTCTTCGTAATTCAATGTAATACGCATTCGAAAGTACTTGTTTCGGATGGATTATTTTTTTCAGTTTATATCTGAAAAACTTCTTTGCACCTCACGGAATTTTTTCATTCATATATAAAATTAAAAATCGACCTTGCAATTAGTTTGTGCTTGACAGCCCCATTTCATTTGTCAGGCGCTATTCTGGATCTGTCAAATTACATATTTTTTAAAGAAATCATAAAATTCGAGTTACCTCTGAAAAGTTCTGAAAATGCCTCAGAAAAAAGTTGCTCGGTTTTCAATTTCATATCCATTTACCAAATTTCAACTGTCCACTGTCGAATCGAGTTTTATTTTTTTCATTTTCACGTTCTACTAAATTGAAACATGATTCAAACTTCATAATTCTGATAACTATAAGACTTACGTGGACTGTTTTTTTAATTTTGGTACAATCGTATCTGACATGCAACTTAGAAGTACTCATTTGAAATTGAAATTTGTGTATACGTATTTGAAATGTGTATATACATGTTTGAAAATAAGTTAAATTTTACATATAAGTAGTAATGATAGTAATTTGAAATGAAAAAATCACATTCTGTATATCATCAAAAAACTACAGAGCATCCTTTATAAATTCAGATACCTTAAGAAAATTTTGCCATTAAAGTATATGAAAACACTATAATTTGCTTTAGCAGAAAGTTACTTACGTTACGGCATAGTAGTAGGTTGGGGTGGGGCCTACGAACACACTTCAAACCACTAGAGATTATCCAAAACAGATTCCTGAAGTTGATTTTAGAAAAACCCCACCAATATTCTACAGATCTTTTATATAAGGAATGCGGGATACTGGATCTGAGTCAACTATATTGTTTGAATGTTATATTGTAATAAAAAAAAAATAAAAAATCACAGTAGTTTATCTACGCATAATTATAGTACCCGGCAAAGACACCACTATGTTGTTCTACAGATGAGCAAATCTGTTTGTCAGCGATCATTTTTTTATATAGCACCCGAAGCGTTTAATTTTATTCCTGGCCATATAAAAGAAATAATGAACTTTAACATGTTTAAAAATAAGTTAAAACGATTCATATACGAAACAGTAACAGCTAAATGTAATGAGATCGTCGAACCATTTTATTTTATTTATATTCGCCTTTTTAATTCTTCATGCAAGGGTTTAATTTTTACAAGCTTTATATTAGCTTTACCTGTATGTATGTATGTATGATTGTTTGTATGCATGTTTGTGTGTAACTCTCAAGATCGGGATCTGTATTGACAGAATTATCGGCATTATTGCTTGATCTATTCGCGGGCAGATGGCGTTGTACGTA